CACTCCCACAAAGGAGGCCACACCCACAGAGTAGGTTCCAACAATTTTTGAAACCCACCACTGAATAATATGATGCAGTCCCTACTTTCAAACTTAACAGTTCTGCTTCTAACCCCACCAACACACCCACAAAATCATGACACAGAAGGAAAGGGATTGGACAACAGAAAAACTGTTAGAGGAGCAATTCAAAGTTGTTTTGTGCAGCTCAACTGTGTAAAGTCAATATGTTGACATTATGCGTAATTTTCAATATGCCGTCAAGAGGTCTGCATGGATCACATGCACTTATGCTTCTCATGCTAACTTGATATGCTAACATTGCTGAGGCTGAATTTGAAATTACCCATATTGTAACTTTTCTAATATTCCAAGGGTCACTTTTAATAATGACCCTGCTGCCTACATTTTTCTGATAATGGATGATTTTATCCAATGGCTTTGCTCATTAAGTTGAAAGCTAATTGGATGTTCTCATTTCCATGCCCTGTTTTAAAGGCTTAAATTGACTTTCAGGTTGAGATGGATAAAAATATTTGGTTGCATTTTGGATTTTAGTTGTCTGGATCAGCCTGTTATTTTATAAAAAAATACTTCAACTAATCTCTTAAATGTTCAGCTCATTGTTCCATGTGGAACGTTGAAGGTGGCCAATAATCAATTATTTAACAAGACATTAAAACAATAAGCTGTAGCAATCAAAGAGCAATTTTAAAAAATCAAAGTCAGTTAAAATTATATTAAGATCTGCATTAAAATGCAAATTAAAATGCAGAGTAGCAAAGCAGCAAACAATGAAATAAATCAATTTGACAGAGGAAACAGGACTGTAGAAACTTCCATTGGAAGCATATTTGCAGTCTGAGACAGGAGCCTGAGAAAGAAAAGTCTCTTTTCGTGGTTTCTCCCCGATACTTCTTTGGTGTAAAAAGGACTGTAACACCCCCTTCGTTTCCACACCCCCTTTCCTTCTGGAATCAAACAATACAGGAGAGCAAGTGGGACCCTGTGTTCTATCTGCTTCTTTCTCCCACAAGCCCAGGGATGGGTTCCTGCCAGTTCTAACCTCTTCTATAGAAGAGGTTCCACAAATCTACCATGCC